TAACTCGCGTTACTTGTAATGCGTTACCCCCAACACTGATTATAACCCTCATGAATCATATCCCAGAATGACTAAATTATTATTCAGCATACCTGCATATTATTCAGTAATTATTCAGCATACCTGAGCAATAGCAGGCAAACATGAGTGTTAATATTTAGACCAACAACATGATTATGAGTGTGATATTGCTTTTATGCAACAGTCCAATAAACAAGAAGTTAATATTGAAACTGAAATTGAATTGTGACGTACATTTTAGACACAATATTGCAAGTTACTCTGTCTATTTCTACTCCCCAATGAAGCCAAAACAGATTTTAGTGTTTTTTTTTTCAGTTGAGTCAATGACTCAAAGACAGCTGTTTGTTGCCACCTACTGGTGTAATGATGTAACCTGCAGAGAGAGACACTAAAAAGACCCAGTGCTGTTGGACCATATACGGCCAAACAGATTCAAGGACCAGAACTAACTGTTGTATAATTTGAAATAAATTTTAGGCCATAAGGACTGTGGCTTTTAAAGAGAACTCAGTAGTAATAGTTAAAAACCAATAGTTTTGTTTTCACACAGAAGCTGTCACTAATAGCTCGGTCTAACTGACTGTATGTTGACTTCATATTAAAAGAATGTAGAAAGCAAACCAGTTAATTGAAAGTCATGTAGGCTATTGTTTGTGTGTTTCCAATGACAGGTTTAAAATGCTGAGTGACACCAACTCAAACCACTTCATGCTGTTTAATCGTGGGACTCGCTGGCTGTCATTTTGGTTAGACTTCTTGTCAGCTACTGTTACTCTAATAGTGGCACTTTTTGTAGTGCTCAGCTCCAATGAGGCCATAAACGCTTCTCTGAAGGGCCTGGCCTTATCTTACACAATACAGGTAACTCTCACAGCTAGACTAAAACAGTAGTTTAAAAAAATGAAAGTCTTTATTATGTCAAATTCAACTGGATGTTTGAGCACATTTTTTGCATTTCTGTCATTGAAGTTGACTGGGATCCTTCAGTTTGTGGTGAGATTGTCCACAGAGGTGGAGGCAAAGTTTACCAGTGTTGAGAGACTGCATGAGTATATTACGGTAAGAGACATAAACACTAGGTGTACCTCAGTATATCATGCGTTTATATTTAGTTTAGAATATAGCTTTTATTTGTTACAACTGCTTGCGTGTGTGCT